CTTCTTCAGAAATTCAGCCATTTCTGAAGAAGGGTCTAGGCCCGAAACGTCAGCTTTCCTGCTCCTCTGATGCTGCTTGGCCTGCTGTGTTCATTCAGCTCTACACCTTGTTATATCAGTGATTATCATTGCTTTAATAACTACCAGAGTCAAAATATCGCTTCAGTTCACAGGAGCAAATGCACAAAAATTTCTAGTTTAATTTAGTCTGCGTTTTAAAGGAGGTTCAGCTCCACAATTCATCAGTAAGCATGAAGAAGTAAGCAAAACTACAAAATCACATTGAAGCCATCAGTGCAGTTCATTTGGCCTGTGCTGCCTAGTCTTTGTGGTTTTCATTACACCTGAAATCTATTCTTTTTGTGAAGCTGCTGTGAAATGCCCAGAAACTTCAAAGTATGTACTATCACTGTTGAAGTTCATAAATGTGATTACATAACATACATTCACAAACCATGGCAAGGTTCAGTCTTGAACTGATTGATTCCTCCAAAGTAATTGATCTGTTTCAATTTCACATCTCAAATCTCTTTATGGATTTCAGCATCGATTTTATTTTTCTTCCCTGTCTTAACAGCTGAGTTTTACCATGTTCCAAATTTTTAGTTGTAAGGACCACTTGGAGAGAGAACAGCAAAAGGAGAGTAGCACTTGGGAAAATATTGTACACATCTGCATACAGTGATATTATGAGATACCAAATGTCCAATTTTACACAACATTCTGCATTTCCTTATCATAAGCACTGTCAAAAAGGAATAAACAATCCAGAGTTTATACATGTTTTAAAATAACACACTCATTGTTCATTAAATAAAATGTATAAGTTTGAGTTAAATAGTTCACATGGAACTAGGAAAATATAACCACATTTTTTATGGAGCTTATTCTCAAATTCTAAGGCTCGGGACAACAGCACTACTAGGTTTAATGTCATCCTTGCCTTTTAAGAGATTGGAATACAGATTTCCTATTGAGTTAATATTTCCTAGTCATTAACATCCCTCTTTGCTCTGCCTAACTATTCTGCTACTGGAATTTCTTATGATAGTGAATTCTCCTGTGTATTAAAATGAAGACAAGAATCTTTAAGAGCAGGAAAAGAATAAGAAGAACCAAAAATTTCTAGTTTTGCATTGATCAACCCCATTTAACCAGCAATAACCCTTTCTTGCTTCATTTATATATCTGTCTAGTTGCATTTTGACTCATTTGAATCAGTTTCAATAGCTGTCAGACACAGCTAAGTGGTGGCACTCTCTCCTCTAAACCTTGTGCATTTAAGTTTCACGCCAAGAATTTCAAGAAAACACTCCAGGCTAACACTCCAGTGGAGTACTGAGGGACTGCTACATTGTCAGAGACACTTGTTTTTGACAGACATTTTAAAGGTATTGCCTGCTCTCTCGCATATAAAAGATCCTATGGCACTAGTCTAAGAAAGCAGGCAAGTTTTGTTGGCACGTGTCAACCGAAATCACAAAAACAGGTTCTCTGGCTATTTATTTCATTGCTGGTTTTGGACCCTTGCTGCATGTACGTTGACTCTTGTGTATCCTACAATATAACAATGACTTGCTTTTTATCATCCCTGGGCATTTATCATTTAAAATCTGACACTATTTTTAAAAAAAAGAGCGGGGTATCATCCCCATTGTCTTGGTCAATGTTTCACCATCAATCATTATTAAAAGGCATATTATCTGGTCATCAACACATTATTGTTTATGGGAGTATGTTGGCACAAATCTGTTGACTATTCCTTGCAAATTATCATATCGACTATAATTCAAAAGTACTTTTTTGGCTGTAAAATTCAATGAGATGTCCTATGATCATTAAAAGCATTATATAAATTCACAGCTGGGATTTTTTGTGGCACCGTGCAGCATTCCCTCTAATTTTATTTTTCATGTGAGCCTACAAGGTCAGTTCACAGCAGTGACTTCTGGAACCAGAAGCATGTGATCTGCATAGGTGCACTTATCATCATGGAACAGGAAATGCAACGCGCACACAGCTGTGCAACTTAAAGGGAACATTGATACTGGGCTAGAAGGAACTGGCTCAAGTCCCAGCCACTCCAGAGGTAGGGGATTACAATGTAAATTCAAGTCTTTCATTCCTGCTTTGCAGGTGAGAATGTTTTACATAGCTTTTCTTTATATTTTTTAAACTTACTTGTCCTTGAGACTGAAAGGTCAGTTTTGCTGCTTTCCATAGTATAATCCCAAAGAACTCAACTAAATCACTCAATCTTTCAAATATATTATTTTAGCATCATCATGTTCAAAAAAGGTACTCCTATAAGGACAAGATCATTTGTGCTCAGAAATTACCATGAAATATTAAGTATTTATTTCTGCAAACTGAAAACAAATTAAAGCACTCCCTCTAGAGGTCTTGAAGATAGCTCACTGCATCACTATCTTGTCAGGTTCATGCTATTTTACCGAAGGCAATAAATAAAGTAGTCAATGTGTTTCATGGTGATAAAATGGAATGATTGCCTTTATCTCAGAACTATCATTGGACTGATGAGGGTGTATACTTTGGCGGAATTTGGTTATGCTTCAGTCCGTGTTGCATTCGAGTTTCCTGTTGTGCAAGTGTTGATAATTCCTACAGTTTTACAGGTACAGTCACAATCAGTCAAAGCAACATCCGATTCCAGTACAGGGGTTGGCTACGCTCAGTCAGTTGGTTGAACCGAGCAGATTCTCAGGATCTGTGTTCTTGCAGTCCAAGGATTGAGTGATGCTTTCTCCACTCAGTCTGAGAATTACATTTTGCAGTAGGAACATCAGTCTGTGAGTGGACCAATCTTTCCTGCTATCTGACAAAGGGAAGGATTGGTTATGATAAAAGTGGTTTGAAGAACACTTAATGGTGAGGTATCCTGGTGAGTAAGTAGGAAGTGTGAGGGCAGGAAGGGTTAATAGTTTAGGAGTCTAAGGTAGATGTGTTGTTGAGTTGACATGATGTAGGCAATATTGAGACCATGAGCCTTGGTGAGAGGCATGTGCAGTAGCAGAGTTGGAGTGAGTGTGAGTTTGAAGTAACAGCGTCAATATTACGCTTACTCTTGGGAAGTGCAGAATATCATTGACCATCCACCTGTGCTACTGAGCATTCCGTTTCACCTGGGTTGCGACACTGACCCAGTTGAAATTTGGCTCCAGGTTGCCTTGGTTTGGAGGCATTATCTTATGTGGCAACCCACAGGTAAAAGGACAATCCTCCTCTGCCAGCTCATTCACCAAAACCTCTGAATTCTTGTCTGTGAAACAGGCAGAAGGCTTTCCTTTCCTCTGGATCTCATGTCCTTTGCGGTAAGCAACAAACTCCACAATGTCAGAGCCAGTTTCTAATTTTCAGCCCATGAAGTGGTGTGTTGTTGGGCTTTAAATACAATGCCCACATCAAGAGTGACAGGAGGTCCTGGCAGTGGCGAGTACTTCCCCCTCTCCAGCCGTGCAATTCCAGGAGAAGTGCACCCAAGAGCCTAGTTTCATGATTAATTAAGTGTCTGACCCGTTTACGTAACCACAAGACTTATTTAACTAATCCAGGTAGGTTTTTGTCCATGATAATTCCCAGGTGGGGGATTCAGTGATGATAATGCGATTGAATATTAAAGAGATACTCTCACTTATTGCCCCTGGTTATAGCCTCACACTTTGTGGTGCAAAAAAAAGCCTGAATATTATCCAGATCCTGTTGCATGCAGACAATTGCTGAATGGTGCTCAAGCCATCTACAGATGGGGATTATGCAATTGCAATCCTTCAATTTCTTTCTTCTGCAAGCTTTCTCCTGGTTCACTGATGTTGACTTACGTTATTACAGAAGGTGGCAAGCCACCCTTTCCCATGAGGTAATAATTTGCCTTTCTGAAATAATTTTTACATCAGGATAAAACAGCACGTGAATGTTTATGTGAACAAGGCACAAGGAGAATACACGTCTCATGACTGCACAGGAAAGACAGCTTTAATACACTCATTTATTGAATCATCAAGATTTCTCTCACCACCCCTTTTCCCAGAGTGTGGATTAATTCTTTTACTCTGAGACTCCTTGTATTTGAAATCATTCCAGAAAATGAGGCAATTAGTTTATTTGAACCTTAGGTTAATTATTTCATCTTTTCTTCCAGCTGTTGGCGTGCAGATTAATCTCCCATTAATGCGTCAGAAATTCTGGATGGCTACACGGCAGGTAAAGAATGAACTTTTAGCTGATAAGTGATTTCTCAGGTTATTTTCTATGAATTGTATTTTACTTAGTTTCCTTTTTACCCTTGAAGCTGTCCTAAAATCATTTTAATCTAAATCCATATAGTTGTCAGAGACAGGACATTTGTCATTTAATTTGTGGTTTAGGCACCACTTTGGTTGCCTATTTTTGCACCAAGTTCCTTCCAATTTTTGTTGGATTATGAGAAAATGTCTGAGATTTTCAGTTAATTTTTATTAACAATCAAAAATAAATTTATGGAAACAGCATGCTTGATGGGTGAATAGATTTTTCTCATTTTGTACTGTGCTATGCCAAGATCTTTATGGAACAATAAATCAACCACACAGTTAAACAACACTGCAAACAATCCTTAAAGTACTAGCCTTTATTGGGCTTTTGTTCCTAGTATTCACTGTATGCAGACCATGAAAACCCGCCAAACAAAGCAGAAAGGAAAAATATTTATTAAAAACTTTATCTACTTCTATGGAACCTATTCTTCTTAATAGACTTGCATACATTTGTTAGACAAATTATTTGAGGTGAAGTTATGTGACAGGGAGTGGGCTGTTCTATATATGACATAATGATCATGCGTACATAATCTATGTAATTATGGTGTTTATTTTAAAACATTTCACATTTCAATTGTGCATTTTCACGCCAAAAGCTTGAAACTATCCCATGATATATTAGTATATATTATTATATTACATACTGGCACTAATACTATGCTAATAGTACAAATTAATATGGAATTTCTGGTTTAAAATGTTAAAAATGTTTTGCTCATCATGCTTAATATATCTGTCTGATAGAGGACAATATAACCAAGTTGCCAATGACAAAAAGATTGATGGAACACTAACTAATGTAGGTGGAGTATAAAATTGCAAAGGGACATTGATGACTTAAGTGAGTAAGCAAGACTGCGGCAAAATATGTGTGAGATCACCCATTTTGATTCACACAAGAATCAGTCTGAATTTTTTTTAAATGGTGAACAGTGAGGAACAGTGAAGGTCCGAAAAGACTCAGGATTTCATGTAAACAAATCGCAACAATATGTTAATCAGGAATAAAAAAATACAAAAAAGGGCAATGAAATGTTAGTTTTTATTCTTTTAAGGCTCTCTAGAAAGAGGAAAATGTTTTGTTGCAACTATAGAAAGCTCTTTAGACCATTGTTGGAATTGTGTACAATTCTGGGCGCTAGAATGTAATCAAAGCTCATTCTGAGACAAGGTTACATAAACTAGTCTCACTTTCCTGGAATACTAAGATTGAGGAGTGTTTTAGTTGGAGCTTTTAGGATTTTGAAGATAATCGATGGAATGGATAAAGAAAACCATTTATGTCCTGTGGTGGAGTGCCTAGGATCAGGGAACATAACTTTAAAATTAGAGGCAGATCGTTTGAGTGAAGTTCAGCATTGTTTAACACAAAGTTTCACCCTATCTCCCACAAAAGAAAAATAGCTGCTAAATAACTAATTACTAAATTAAATACTAAATTACTCATTTTAAGTTTGAGATTGATAGTTTTATTTTAACAAGCAAGTCCATTAAGGAATATGGAGCCAAGGCGAGTGCACTGCAAGTTAAGATATTGCTCACTCATAATCTCACTGAATGGAGGAACTGTCTTGAGGGCAGACTAACCTAGTCCGATGAATTTCTTTGCTCGCAAAACTTAGCACAATGGGATGTAATTACTTATTTTAAGAAGCATTAACTGTATTTTAAACAGGGTAAATAAGGAATAATTTAAAATGAATGTATTTAATGTTCGTTCATTTGTATTTCAAGCAAAACCTTTAATGTTTAAATCTCTGAAATTTACATAAATCACTCAAGTAACCCAATTAAATTCCTGTTTTGTGAGAATTTTTTCCATTAATTACAAGACTACCTTTCTAGAAGGAAAGCTATTTTGTTAAAGAAAGGTAATAGAGGTCTTCAAGGCATGCAGCACATTAGCTTTTGAAAAGCAGTTGTTTCCATGGGAACAGGTCCTTGTAATTTGATACCATTTTGTGCATGAGTTAATAAGGTGATCCTGTGATGTGCAGTAACGACTACAGCACTGCGGAGTGGGAGTTTCTCTCCTCAGACATAAAAGCAAAAACCATGACTGAAATATACACGGCATCGACAACTTCCTTGGACCACATTCAGTCTTATCACCTATGTTATTTAAATTACAGAACCAATTCAAAGAAATGTAGCAATATCCAAATTCACATCATCGTCTCCAGATCTTATAAGACGAGAAAAGAAATATGCATAATCAAAATAATCTCTTTTCAATGGCTGATATAACAAGGTGTAGAGCTGGATGAACGCAGCAGGCCAAGCAGCATCAGAGGAGCAGGAAGGCTGACGTTTCGGTCTGAAAGGTCAGCCTTCCTACTGCTCTGATGCTGCTTGGTCTGCTGTGTTCATCCAGCTCTACACCTTGTTATCTCAGCTTCTCCAGCATCTGCAGTTCCTACTATCTCTTTTCAATGGCTGTTGTCTCAGTAATCCTTTTTCACATCATAATGCTATACACGCACAAGCCTAGAAAATTGTGTGAGCCCATCCTTGGGATCCTGGAGCCTGAGTTAGTCCCATTATTCAGACTTCATTATAATGAAATCTATGAGATGCCACAGCCATCAGTGCAGCCTGGATTCAAGTGTTAGCATGCTGTGGAGGTCACAGTTGAAGAACTATTCCCTAGTTACTCCTGTGTTGCAGTAAAAACTCTCTCACTCTGAATGCTAGAAGTCAGCAAACTACCAGACACACAAAAGGTAATGGGATTCTGTCTCCACCTGAATGCTGAAAGTTAGTCACAGTTAAGAGGAATCAAATCTACAAAATCTCAAACAATCTTAAAAACTTAAGGTCATAAAACCAACTGTTCAAGTACTAATATCAGTAACTCCATTGCAACAGCCATAATGTTCAACTAGCCAACTATTCAACTTTGTGAACAATTTGGAGACGGATCAGTATATTTGTTTTTATTAAACTTTTATCTTTTTGAACTCACCTCTTAATTCTAATCTGGGTCAATATGTGTTGTCTTACTAATAATTCTCAGGTTTAGAAATTAATAAATTCTCTCTTTGTTAACTAAAGGAAGCTTGGTTTAAATGGCTTATTTTAAAATATAATTCAATTGGATCTGGGGAAGAAGGTATCCACAATTAACCTTTTTACCACTAATCAAGAGTAAGGTGAATAAAGGTAGGGAGCCAGTTCATCCCTCCTCACCCGGGAGCTTAACAATTTGGGGAAATGTTGCAAATTGTGGAGACTCACTTGGGATCTGTGCATGAGTGCAATAAGCACAACCCACCACAGTGATGAATTATGGAGTTGTGGGCTGAATGGCCTAGGATTTTGAGCAAACAAGTGTTATAACTAGAACCCAAGCAAGGTTCCCAAAGTTATTACAGTTTGGGACGGGATATCCCAAATTTCCAAAGAACCACAAATGAACTGGCTACCCCTCTTTACTAAGTCACCCTCTCAATTATTTGCAAGAAGGTTAATTTTTAAAGAATCTGCTGCCTAATGGATATATTTCTTCCAGACCCAAGGAATTTGTTCTGAAAGGAGTAAGTTTAACTAGGCTTAGTTGAGTTAACAAAAGACTGAATTTATTTAAAGGTAAGAAGAAATAATAGTGCAAAACCTATAAACACAAATGAGAAAGAAGTGAGTCCAAAAGTAATGACAAAAGTTACAAGATGCATGGATCAGTCTCTTTGAGTGGTATGTGAAGAGTAGATAGTGAAACATTGATAATTTGAGAATCTTGCCTTTGCAGATTAGTTGAGATTCTGTTGTCCTGTTTCCTTTGACTGGCTTACTGGCTAACTGACTTCTAGCACTCAGCTAGGGAGAATACTTACCTGCAACACAGGAGTAACTAGTGGGTGGTTCTTTAACTGTGACCTTCAAAACTCAGTAGCTGTCAAACCCAGGTTTGTACACATAAATACCTCAGCCTACTAGCACACATGAGCATCTTAGACCACTAGAACACACAAACCAGGATTGAATTAGCTTTTAACCTCTATTCTTTTGTATTCTTAAAAGGAGAAGACATGAAACATGTCTTCCATCCAAAATTTTATCTCTTCTCCCATCATGTTCACAGATGTGGGTAACTCCAAAGAGTTGACAATTCAGTTTGTAGCATATTTCCCTTTTTAAGACCACCCTTTTTAATCTTCATTGACAGTTCATCAAGTGTGATATTCCAGAGCTTCTCTCTCAGACAGCCACTGGATTTACATCTGCAAGCAATATTTCAAAAGAAAATTCAATACATCCATTGATGATTCCTGGTCATGTCATTAAGATCTAACATCCAGGTCCTCGTTATAGTAGCTATATTAATGTCTAACATATAAATGTAACCTGTAACTAGTTGATAACATGCAATAACCTATTTGTTCAATATAAGAGACTCTTTTCGTTAGACCATCGATTCTTTTTTCTCTATTGCATTAGATCAAGAAAGGCCTGTAGACCGTACACTTAAAGCAAATGCTGGCAGCAAATCTACCAGTTGGTGAGCTGTAGAGACAGTTTACTTGTGTATACAACATGGTAATCAACAGAGATAGTAGGAACTGCAGATACTGGAGAATCTGAGATAACAAGGTGTAGAGCTGGATGAACACAGCAGGCCAAGCAGCATCAGAGGAGCAGGAAGGCTGACATTTCGGGCCTAGACCCTTCATCAGAAAAGGGGGAGGGGAAGGGGGTTCTGAAATAAATAGGGAGAGAGGGGGAGGCGGATAGAAGATGGATAGAGGAGAAAATAGGTGGAGAGGAAACAGACAGGTCAAAGAGGCAGGGATGGAGCCAGTACAGGTGAGTGTAGGTGGGGAGGTAGGGAGGATGGACAGGTCAAGGGGGCGGAATGAGGTTAGTAGGTAGGAAATGGGGGTGTGGCTTGAGGTGGGAGGAGGGGATAGGTGGGAGGAAGAACAGGTTAGGGAGGCGGGGACGAGCTGGGCTGGTTTTGGGATGCGGTAGGGAGAGGGGAGATTTTGAAGCTTGTGAAATCCACATTGATACCTTTGGGCTGCAGGGTTCCCAAGCGGAATATGAGTTGTTGTTCCTGCAACCTTCGGGTGGCATCGTTGTGGCACTGCAGAAGGCCCAGGATGGACATGTCATCTGAGGAATCGGAGGGGGAGTTGAAATGGTTCGCGACTGGGAGGTGCAGTTGTTTATTGCAAACCGAGCGTAGGAGTTCTGCAAAGCGGTCCCCAAGCCTCCGCCTGGTTTCCCCGATGTAGAGGAGGCCACAACAGGTACAGCGGATGCAGTATACTACATTAGCAGATGTGCAGGTGAACATCTGCTTGATGTGGAAAGTCTTCTTGGGGCCTGGGATGGGGGTGAGGGGGGAGGTGTAGCACTTCCTGCGGTTGCAGGGAAAAGTGCCGGGTGTGGTAGGGCTGGAGGGGAGTGTGGAGCAGACACGGGAGTCATGGAGAGAGTGGTCCCTCCGGAAAGCAGATAAGGGTGGGGAGGGAAAAATGTCTTTGGTGGTGGGGTCGGATTGCAGATGGCGGAAGTGTCGGAGGATGATGCGTTGGATCCGGAGGTTGGTGGGGTGGGATAATGCGTTGGATCTGGAGGTTGGTGGGGTGGGATGATGCATTGGATTTCACAAGCTTCAAAATCTCCCCTCCCCCTACCGCATCCCAAAACCAGCCCAGCTCGTCCCCGCCTCCCTAACCTGTTCTTCCTCCCACCTATCCCCTCCTCCCACCTCAAGCCGCACCCCTATTTCCTACCTAATAACCTCATCCCGCCCCCTTGACCTGTCCGTCCTCCCTGGACTGACCTATCCCCTCCCCAACTCCCCACCTACACTCACTTGTACTGGCTCCATCCCCGCCTCTTTGACCTGTCTGTTTCCTCTCCACCTATCTTCTCCTCTATCCATCTTCTATCCACCTCCCCCTCTCTCCCTATTTATTTCAGAACCCCCTTCCCCTCCCCCTTTTCTGATGAAGGGTCTAGGCCCGAAACATCAGCCTTCCTGCTGCTATGATGCTGCTTGGCCTGCTGTGTTCATCCAGCTCTACACCTTGTTATCTATGGTAATCAACAGAGTGGGTTTCATTTAGTTGCCTCATTCAACAGATGTTAATACATTTTGGATGATAAAATCTATTGAAGTCTGAGGTTGTAGACTTGCTCACCGAGCCAGTATGTTTGATTTTAGACGTTTCATCATCCTGCTAGGTAACATCCTCAGTGTGCCTCCAGTGAAGCCTTAATGTTGTGTCCCACTTGTTATTTATATGTTGATGGTTGTCATCAACAAACACATTGAACTGGTCCCAATATACAAACCACTGAAAAACAGAACCAGAAGTAATGCCAACCACCCCAGCAAACCGAGGCACGTAAATAACAAACGGGACTTCACCAACACTTCACCAGAGGCACACTGACGATGTTATCTAGCAGGATGACGAAACATCTGCAATCAAACACACCAGCTCAGCGAGCGAGCCTACAACTTCATCCACAACCTGAGCTACAAATCTTCTCAAAAACTCTATTGAGGTCTGCTGGGATACCTTGGTTTGTGTTAAGTTTTTTTGATCTTCAGTGATTTGTAATGTTTGCATAATTGGGTATGATCGTGTATGCTAATATAATAGAATATGCATAGTTATATTGAAGTGTACAAATATATTTGCCCTGATGCTTACAACTGACTGAGCTAATGTTTCTTCTTTCTTGCTGCCTTGCACTATTCCCTTTACAGTCTAATGATACAGATGTAAGTAAACTGCTTTCTTGGAATAGAATGTATGAGAATCAGGCCTAACATTAGATACAGGTATTGTCCACATACCTACCTATGCTTTATCAAGGAGGTTAGGGAAGCATATATTATCCTGAATTGAAACTGTATTTTCATTCCTTCATTGTCACTGGGCTAAAAACTTACCCTGAATTCCCTCCGAACAACACTTTGGGATACCTACACCAGATAGACTGCATCGGTTCAAAGATGTGGCTGATCATCACCTTCACATTGTTAGGGATGGGCAATAAATATTGGTCTAACCAGTAATACTCAAATCCTGATAGAATTTAAAAATTTGCACTTCCTGTGTCCCTGCCCTGTACAGAAACTGCCTCTAGACTAAAATCCAGGCTAGTATGATGGGAGATGACTAATTCTAAAATCCAGAAACTATAATGGAGAAAGTGGAATAAAAACATAATTTATTCAACTGCTGTCATTAAAATCTTGCTTTTGCACAAAGGGGCAGAATTTGCCTAAAGCCAATGATGTGCAAACAATTAAAACATTAAATTGGTCCCCGATCAATTGAAATGAAATCGGCCATCTTCTAGCTCTCCTGTGTCATTCATTAGCAGCTTGTTTCATGGGGCAGTGCACTACTTAAAGGAGTGGCACATTTTGGCAGCCAGCAAATCACACAAGATTGTTTATATTAGCAGCGGAGAAGAATCTTCTGTATCAATTTAGAGAGGGAAAGGCCATGCTCATTTTTTTACATTGTCCAATTTTCTCATGATGTCAATCAGGAATTTTGCTATAATTTGCACCTTGTTTGTGCGGAGAAATGTTTGCTAAACAGGTGCCATGAAAAGAGTGGTGTTTTAGTATTAATTAAATATTATGCTTCTGTCTATCACATATTTCACTTCTTTTCATTTTCCAGTGCAGCAACATAGAAGGTACATGTCCCATTAGCTGTGAACATGATGTGAGTATTCATTAACCTGTCCTTTAAACTAGGAGAAAATAACTCTTTAATTGAATTATATTGAAACTACCAAAAACATTTCACATAATTAAAAATTTTTAATCTGTCATGCAGGCTCTGAATTGTTTCTTAATAGATAACAATGGGTTCATTCTGATCTCCAAGAAAGAGGAAGAGGTAAGTGTTCTGCTCAGATGGAGGGTGATTTTGTCTTAAACACTGTAAGAGGCAGACAATGCAGTAGGATTGCAGCCATTTTAACATGGGGTTATGATCTTCAGTATAACTGATGAATATACATAGTATGAAAGTGGAACAGACCATTTTTATCACAAAACACATAGGTATCAATTGGAGTGTAGGGTAGAATCGAGGGCTCATAGTATTGGAAGGATGTCAAGGTCTTTGGCAAGGGTAAACAGCTGGTTTACCAAGTTAATAACAGTGATGGGTAAAAAATACCACTTTGTGAATATTTAAGTGGATGAGAATAAACAAGCAGTAGGTGCAAGATTCCCCAATGCACTTTTATAAAGGGTAGCATTGTGCCAATGTGACTGGATTGGTAATCTGGAGCCCCAGGCACACGTGTTCAAATCCTGCCAAGGCAGATGATGAAATTTAAATCTGATAAAATTTGGAATTAAAAAAGTAGCAAATGGTAAAAATGTAACTATTGTTGTAAAAATCCATTTGCTTCACTAATACCGTTTTAGAGGAAGGCACTCTGCCATCTTTATCTCATCTGACAAACATGTGACTAGTTTCACAGAAATGTGGCTGGCCCTCCAAAATGGCACAGAAAGCTGAATAGTTCAAGGACAATTGGGGATCAGCAATAAATTCCTGCCTTGCCAATGATTCCAACTTGGAAGTTCTTATAATGACTCTAGGGAAGAATAAACAAGGTTCATACTCCTAATTGTGACAGAATTACAGTGTTGTTGGGACTGTATTTTTGCTATTGGTACCTATAGCTGAAGCTGGGAATTTTCCTGATTGGCAGACCCATCTTAGTTTAGAGGGTTTAGAATCATGCTATTTTCACTTCGAGTTTGAGCTGGTGTCAGGAAGGCTGACCTTGAAGAAGATCCTAGGCAACCATGGGGGCAGGCTAGTGCTGAGGTTTACAGGTTAGAAGGCCTGCCTTGGTTTCTTGGGATTTTGTCCTAATCATAAGAAAACTAGTTTGGCCCTCTATCCTCCATCTGTCTCCCATTCATTCCCCATAGCTCCTCATGCAAACTTGCATCATTCACTCAGCACACATTATGTAAATAACTGATGAGCCATATAACAGCAATGGTAAGTGTGGAACTGCTGTTAAAAAAAATCCATTCAGAAATGTTCTTTGGAAAAAAAGATGCTTCACAACCCTATAACAGTATAAATGAGAGAGAACATTAAGTAGGAGCTACAGATGCTTCAAACATTTACAACTCTTAATGCAATACAAAAAAAATTGAAGCATCAATAAAAGAGATTACAAAATCCACTTAAAATGTCAATCAAGTAAGGTCAACAACTTATATCAATTTTCAAAACAGAATTCCTGTTGAAATCATGCTTGCATTTGGTCGAACCTCTCAGCCAGTAAGAACAGAAGGAAAGCCAGATTTGCTGAAAATTGACCATGTGGGGAGTGAGAACTGGAATCGCAGAATTGCACCCAGACAACCATTACTAAATGACTGAGAAAATCCAGTCCTTAGGACAGAGTTTTGTCAATGCTGTTATTCCTGAAAGCAGAACCGGAAGGTGCATCACTTCTGCTCTTTTGCTTTTTCTCCATTTCATAGAATCATAGAATCCCCACAGTGTGGAAGCAGGCCATTAGGCCCATTGAATCCATACCAACCCTCCGAAGAGTTTCCCACCCAAACCCACCCCCCTTCCTTATCCCTGTAACCCTGCATTACCCATGGCTAATCCACCTAGCCTGCACATCCCTGGACCCTATGGGCAATTTAGCATGGCCAATCCACCTAGCCTGCACATCTTTGGACTGTGGGAGGAAACAGGAGCACCCAGAGGAAACCCACGCAGACACAGGGAGAATGTACAAACTCCACACGGACAGTCGACCGAGGGTGGAATCAAACCTGAGTTCCTAGCATTTTGAAGTAGCAGTGCTAACCAATGAGCGACCTACACAATTATAAATAAAATTTAAAGTGCAGGTGGTGTGCTTGGGAAACGCATGTGATTCTGCAGTAGGGAGAGCTTTTCAGTGGTGAAACCTGCCATAAGCTGTCAAAATGGTACAACCAGTGGTGATCTATAAAAGACCCTCCTGGTTAAACAGGAAGGTGCTGCATCACAACCAACGCTTGCCTGCTCAACTCGATTGTCATTGATATAAAACTTATTAAGAGCACAAGAGTGCACCGGTTAAAATTTAAATGTCACTTTATATTGGTCTTACTTTGTTCATGTATCCATTAACATTATTTGTTGACACTAGCTTAGTCAGAGAGCTAAGTATACTGGCGCAATTCTTAATTAGCATGCGTTAATGTCATAGGAAATTAGGGTCTTTTATTGCAGAAGAAACGGTATTCTGTTTCTTTGTTCAATCTTCATTGAATGCTCATGCTCACGTCCAATGTACTTGTTATTCTGTGCGAAAGGTGGTGGCCCATTGGTATTATTGTTAGACTATTAATCCAGAAACTCAGTTAATGTTCTGGGGACCTGGGTTCGAAACCCGCCACGGCAGATGGAGGGACTTGAATTCAATAAAAAATTAAGAACCTACAGATCACTGTGAAACCATTGTTGATTGTCAGGAAAAACCGATCTGGTTCACTAACGTCCTTCAGGGAAGGAAGTCTGCCATCCTCAATTGGTCTGGCCTACGTGTGACTCCAGATCCACAGCAATGTGGTTGACTCTCAGTTGCCCTCTGAAATGGCCTAGTAAGCCATTCAGGGGACCGATCGCTACAAAATCTCAAAGAAATGAAACTGAATGGATCACAAGGCATTGACTTAGGCATCAGAAAATATAACAGCAGAAACAGTCCTGTTGATCCTGCAAAGTCCTCCTCACTAACATCTGGGGCTAATGCCAAAATTGGGAGAGCTGTCTTACTGACAGAATCATACCTTACAGACAATGTCCCAGATACCACCATCACCATCCCTGGATATGTCCTGTCTCATCAGCAGGACAGACCTAGCAGAGGTGGTGGCACAGTTGTATACAGTTGGGAGGGAGTTGATCTGGGAGTCCTCCACCTTGACTGTGGATCCGATGAAGTCTCGTGGCTTCAGGTTAAACAGGAGCAAGGAAACCTCCTTCTGATTACCACATACTGTCTTCCCTCAGCTGATGAATCAGTACTCCTCCATGTTGAACGACACTTGGAGGAAGTACTGAGGATGGCAAGGGCACAAAATGTACTCTGGGTGGGGGATTTCAATGTCCACCACCAAGTGTGGCTTGGTACCAGTACTACTGATCGAGTTGTCAGGTCCAAAAGGACATAGCTGCTCGACTGGGTCTGCGGCAGGTAGTGAGGGAACCAACAAGAGGGAAAAGTACTTGATCTCATCTTCACCAAAGTGCCAGCTGCAGATGCATCTGTCCATGACAGTATCAGTAAGAGTGACCACTGCACAGTCCTTGTAGAGATGAAGTCCCACCTTCACATTGAAAATAACCTCCATCATGTTGTGTGGCACAAACACCGTGCTAAATGGGACAGACTTCAAACAGATCTAGCAAGTCAAGACTGGGCATCCATGAGGCACTGTAGGCCATCAACAGCAGCAGAATTGTACTCCAGCACATTCTGTAACCTCATGGCCCAGCATATCCCCCACTCAACCATTGCCGTCAAGCCAGGGGATCAACCCTGGTTCAATGGAGAGTGCAGGAGGACATGCCAGGAGCAGCACCAGGCATACCTGAAGATGAGGTGTCAACCTGGTGAAGCCACCAAATAGGACTACTTGCACATCAAACAGCGAAAGCAGCAAGTGACAGACAGAGCTCAGCAATCCCACAACCAACAGATCAGATCTGCAGTCCTGCCATATCCAGTCATGAATGGTGGTGGACAATTAAACAACTCACTGAAGGAGGAGGCTCCACAAATATCCCCATTCTCATTGATGGAAGAGCCCAGCACATCAGTGCAAAAGATAACAAAAACAAAGTTGCTGGAAAAACTCTGCAGGTCTGGCAGCATCTGTGAAGGAAAAAACACAGTTAACGTTTCGGGTCTGGTGACCCTTCCTCAGAACTTTCACAGCAATCTTCAGCCATAAGTGCTGAGTGGATGATCCGTTTTGGCCTTCTCCAGTGGTCCCTGGCACTACAGATACCAGTCTTCAGCCAATTCAATTCACTTCACGTGATATCAAGAAACGGTTGGAGACACTGGATACTGCAAAGGCAATGGGCCCTGACAACATTCCGGCAATAGCACCGAAGACCTGTGCTGTAGAACTTGCCGGTCCCCTAGCCAAGTTGTTCTAGTACAGTTACAACATTGGTATGTGGAAAATTGGCCAAGTGTATCCTGTACATAAAAAAAAGGTCAAATCCAACCTGCCCAATTACCGCCCCACCAGTCTACTGTCAATCAACAGTAAAGTGATGAAAAGTGACATCAACAGAGGAATCAAGCAGCACCTACTCAGCAATAACCTGCTCAGAGATGCCCAGATTGGGTTCCGTCAGGGCCACTCAGCTCCTGATCTCATTACAGCCTTGATTGGGGAGGTGATGGCCTAGTGTCACTGGACTGTTAATCCAGAGACCCAGATAACGTTCTGGGGACCTGGGTTCAAATCCCACCATGGCAGCTGGTGGAATTTGAATTCAATAAAATATCTGGAATTAGGAGCCTAATGATGACCATGAATCCATTGTCGATTGTCGGGAAAAATCCATCTGGTTCACTAATGTCCTTTAGGGAAGGAAACTGCCATCCTTACCTGGTCTGGCCTCTATGTGACTCCAGACCTACAACAATGTGGTTGACTCTGAACTGCCCTCTGGGCAATTAGGGATGGGCAATAAATGCTGGCCTAGCCAGCGATGCCCTCATCCAATTAATGAATAAAACAAAATTCAAACATGGGCAAAAGAGCTGAATTCCAGAGGTGAGGTGAGAGTGACAGCCCTTAATATCAAGGCTGCATTCGACCGAGTGTGACATCAAGGAG